GAATGGAAGGTATTCTTCATGTTAGAAATAATCCTTATTTATATCGAATTAGTTTAGATAATATTCAATAAAAAAAAGGTATAGATCTTTTTACTAGTAAGATTTTTTTTCTATTATTCTTTCAATAATAGACATGAAATCTATAAACGAAATAAATTCCTAGATAAATTTTTCGTTTCATTAATTAGATAATAACAGTTATGTACTTATATAGAAAAAAAAAATACGTAGATATTATCTCCAATTTAAAGTTTCAAAGAAATATTTCAAAAATAAAATCTCGAATAAAATAGATAGTTAATATAACATTTGAGATACAATAGAAATAAATAAGTCTAAAGAAAAAAAATTAAAAATATTTCAATAATATCATTACTTTAAAAAATCACTAAAGCATAGATAAATATAATCATTGATATAAAACGAATTTTTGACTCTTATCATTGTTTAGATGAAACGTTCCATAATTCCTTAATTGAATAATCAACTTTTATCAGTTACTATCGATATTAGTAGAAAGAGAAGAGAAGATTATCTACCAAACAATAATGGAATTATATTTAATCCTATCGTTTACTATCTTTACTAATTTACAATATTGAAATTTTGGTTGATCTTCAATTTCCGATCAACGATTATCCTTTTGTTTTAGACGTCCGACTATTATTTATTAAAATTTCATTGTCTTTATTTACTTGATGGAGATTTCAATCAACTTCATAGACTTCATGTTGATCTCTATGTCATTGGGTATTAGAAGAAAAGAGTTAACAAGATAGTTAATTATTTTTTCAATAAATATCTTATTTAAATGAATTAATAATATTGTTTTTTCTTCTAGGAAAAACTAGCTCGTTTTAAATCCTTTTGGCTACACTCGAATGTAGAAAGATTTTTTTATCATGAATTTGTTTTACCACTTTTACATCGAATAACAAATATCGAAAAGGTTGATTTCTATATTTATGTTGGTGAAAGAAATAAATTTATTGATAGTTATCATTTCAAGATGAATATTATTAATTCTATGACACAATTAAACAAATTCACATTTTATATTTGTTCATTAAGTAGATTTTATAATGATATTTATTTACCATAAAATGAACATATTCAAAATAGATTTACTCACTTTAATCATAAACAAATTATCTATTCGACTGATTATTTTCCAAAAGTAAAAAAAGGTTATTGTCACATTTATTCATATCGATATCAACTGAAATATTATAATAAAATAACAAATAATTATCCAAGTGGAATATTTAAATATGTTGGTCAAGTTGAATTATATGATCAACGTCCTTTTCAATATCAATTTTTCCTTCGAATTCAAAAATGATTTCCATTGATGGAAGAATTAACTATAGATAATCAACAACGACAAATTAATAAACAATTCTCAAAATCAAGACTTAACAATCATTAAATATCCTTATCTTAAACAACTTTATCTTATTGATACGTCCTGAGATTATTATCAACAATTCTTATTCGATACTAAAATCAATTTATAATTTGATCTTCGTGTTTATATGATTTATGAATTAGTCAAACAAGTGACACGCAATTTCACAAGAAATAGAACAAGAACTAATTCTGCGAAGATTAATTACGTAAATTTATCTGCAGAAATAGAATATCCTGGATATTATTAAAATTTTTCTGGTGAAAAACAACAACTTCCTCAATATATAAAAGACTATTTTCCTCATACACAAATAGATAAATTATTGTTAATTTGTTACTTAAATAAAACATGAATAAAAGTAGATTGATTTACATAGAATTAAACCATTGAAAGAGAGAGAGATAGAACTAATAAAGAATAATGATTGAAAATAGATATTGGATAGGAATTTGTTTGAAATGAATATATCCAATCTGTCTCTCTATAGACGTTCAGAGAAAAAAAATTGAATTTGAATTACAATTAATAAGTAAATATATCCTAACTAATAGTATAGAAAGAGTTTTTTCTTTAAATAATATTAACCTTCTATCAATGATGTGCACGACAAAGGTTGCACACCAAACAAAAAACGGTTTCAAGTTCAGCGTTCTCATCCTCACTCACATCCACACCATCATCCATGCTTAAAAGGTTCAGCCAGCGCCGTCAGTTATCTATCCACATGGACAAGATACATTTAATAAAATCTGATTTCATCCAAATAACACTTCAATTAGGAACAACTGAAAATGATGGATCTATTCAAATTTCGACTTTTATTAGATAAAATAGAAATAAAAGTAACATTTTGTTATTATTTTATTATTTTAATTGAACAATTCATATCTAATTACCTCTAAGATTATATATTAAAACAAAATCGACATTTTATTAATAAGAATTCTCGATATTTCAATATGATTTCTATTATATTATTTAATTTCAACTTTTATCAGTTAAAATAATTATTTTATAAATACGTAGATATATTTATATACGTTAATTCAGTCAAAAACTAGTCCGAGTGATAGTTTAATACCATCTTAGAATCTTTAACAAACGTTTTTCTCAATATACTATTCAAGAGAAAACGAATAGCCGATTTTATCAAACTTTTATTTATCTATTTATAATAACAATAGAACGATAAAAACTATTTTATTTCTATGTTTCGCGGTTACCTATCAATCACTGTTATAAGAGGGCAGATAACTAGTTTTTTGAATAACTTTTCTCAAAAATAAAATAGGCTATTGCACTTTTCACTGTTGGAAAGAGAAGTAAAGATACATTAGATCGTCTATTACGAGCTTTTTTTAATAATATTTTCAATTAACGTTTTTTAAGAGGAAACCTGTCCGAGAAGTTGTTTACAGTCAACTTTTAATAAAGATCTACAAACTATGGAAATCTTAGATGAATAATACGTACTTTAGTGCACCTTATTATCCTCGTTTACAGGAATTCCTATGGAAAAAAGTCACGTTTTGTCTCATTCTTTTTTCTTTATGAAGAAGAAGATTTTCTTGAATGTTAGAAAATCGAACAAAAAATACTTGAAAAATGAATATTAGAAAAATGGATAAAATATGTTTCGATGCATCTTCATCTTTTATTTTCAACGATAAAACATTGCAATTCTCTTTTATTTCTATGAGAAGTCATTCAACAAAATCTTGACTATCACTTCTGTGATCGTGATAGATTGAAATAAAATTGTTTTTATCGTTCTATTCTTATTATAAATAGATAAATAAAACTATGATAAAATCGCCTATTCGTTTTCTCTCATCAGAGTATATTGAGAAAAACATTTATTAAAGATTATAAGATGGTATTTAACTATCACTCGGATTACTTTTTGACTGAGTTAACATATAAAAATATTTCTATAAATAATTGTTAAGAACTAATTGAGACTAAATGTTAAATAAAAGAAGAAAAAAAAATGATAAGATCTATAAATAAATGCAAATATATATAAAATCTAATTGAATAATAAATAAAATGTCCGGAATAAAAAAAAAAAGTAAAATATAATTATTATAAATAATCTGATTGAAATGAAATAAATTTAGGTTGTTGATTTGAATATATAGTTAAGAATTGGACTGATGAAACAAATTATTTAAATGAATAATCTCATTATGAATATAGACGTTGTTTTACTCATTTTAATCGAAATAATAAACGTTGAATATATTTTATTTAATTATGATGAAATTCTTGTGTTGTCATAAAATATTAGTTTATTTATCGAATTGTTTAAATCGACAATTTATTAAATCATATCTATGGGATTTTCATGCTCTAGCTCAACGATCCAATATCATATTTTCTTGCTTTATTTCATAAAAGTTTTCGAAACGTTTTATTTTAAAATCAATTTGTTTTTTTGTTAAATAAAAAAAAGTTTAGTTGATTTTTATTGATTTTCTGATTGCAAATGTAATTTAGGTCAAAATTGATTATATTGACATGTGAGAGGAGGTAGATATATTTAAAATATAAAATTATCTTCATTTATTCATTTTCAACATTCTCAATTGATTTTGTTATATTTGAGAAGAGGTTATTTAACGTTAATTTATTATAAAATATATTCAATAACGATAGATTATTTATTCAAATAAAATCAGTAATGAAATTTTATAAAATTGATTTCATTTCTATATATAATATTAGATTAACTCATCTTATCAAATAAACGTTTTTTCAATCTCATCATCTCATCCTTTTATTTCCTTTTCTTATATAAAAATCTTTATCGTCAAATTCTATTCGAATCATCATTTATTATATAATAGAGTACGATTATTATTTATCTATTTAAATATAAGATTTGTTCTATATTATAGAATTTAAATTCTTATTCAAACGATTATTTAAATAATAAATCTTAGTTTAATTATATAAAAATAAATGGACATTCCTTTAACAGATCCTTTACTTTAAATAAATAGTATTATTTTACCTGATTATCATTTTCATAGAAAAGAATCCTTGACACACTGACCACTCACTAAACGAATGCTAAATAAATGTTTCAATCAATGATAAATCTATTTTAATAGACTTCAATAACATAGATTTTAGCACTTATCAGATCTTGCACTGTCAGATGACTATTTGTTTTGATCACTTCGAAATCATCTGCACAATAAACATTACATAAACTTCATTTAATTCATTTCAGACTTCACTGTCTATTTTCCGAATCATAATCAGCTAGTTTCTACAAACATGAAATCGAACAATTCCCACCAATATGAAAGAATATGGTTGAAACGAATGGCGATCAGTTCGGTTGATGATACATATCGTTCACCTAAAATGTTTAGTGCTAAACAAAAAACTTGCAGAACTTCTCTTCGAATTTAATACATTACACATATATTTATTTAAACAAAATTAATTTATTTCACAGATTACTACACATCACACATAATCTTTTTCATTTCTATATAGATTTTATTTTCTTACAACAATAAACAAGACAAATTTCTCTTATTCTATTCGTCTTTAATTTAATACTTTATTTTGTCTTTCAAAATATTCCTCGATAATATATTTTTGCATTAGGAAAATATTCTTGTAAAGAAGAATTCGGACATTTTGCTCCGCTACGAAATTTTAGTTCATTTACTTTGGCACAATTAATTCGTGTAGCATCTCTTTTGAAATTGTGTGTTAACCGTTTTAAAGATTCATAATTGATATAAAGAAGAACATTACTTTGCAAATACGTTTTAGTATCAAATAGAAATTGTTCTATATAATCATCATGGACATCGTCAATATCAAGTTCACTAAGAAAAGAATATTCAATAACAGATGAAATTCGATTGTCATTGTTTGATTCATAAGATTGTTTGTGATTTTGTGATTTATGATTAATCACACATAATCGTTCCATAAATGGAAATGATTTCTGAATTCGAAGAAAAAATTCATGTTCAAAAGGATGTTCATCGAATAATGACACTACACGTACATATTTGAATAATCCATCAGGAAAATTATTTGTAATATAACTGTAATATTGCATTGGAGATGAATATGAGTAAATATGACATAGAACTTGTTTTGCCTCTGGAAAATAATCAACATAAGAAATGATTTCATTCTTTGGAAAGTCAATGAATGTGCGTTGAATATCTTCTGTTGATGGCAAATTCAATTTATTACAAATAGACATGAATGAGCGAATATAAAATGTAAATTGATTTAATCGTGGCATAGAATTAATAATGTTTCTCTTCAAATTGTTTCCATCAATAAATGTTTTATCAACAAAGACCGCAATATACAAACCGAGTTGTTCTAGATTTGACATTCGATAGAGAAGTGGGAGGATTAATTCATCGTAATAATTTGTTTCATAATCACAGGAAAGAGAAAAACATTTTAGATTTGGTAAATCGCTCTAAAAAATAGGAATATTTATTTTGTTATTTAACAACATAGAGGTTTTTCTTGTAAAACTAACTTGATTATGAATTTCCTCCGGAAGTCGAATACTAAGCAAATCAACAAAGAGCGTGTTAAGTTGATTAAAACGACCATCGAGAAAATAAAGACAATCATCAAAACATTGAATCTTGATATTCAATTTCTGAAGAGTTGAAGAATGAAAAGTAGGAGGAGGTGGATCGTCAAACAATAATCGAAGACGATTTTTATACGATGATTCATATAATTTTAAATAAAGTAGATTAGCGAAACCAGTCAAAATATAATCGCATATGTTTACCACCGTCAATGTCGTCTCCTTATTATTATCAATTGTAATAAATAGTGTTCTAATCTGATTTTTGAAAATATTCGATGAAAGCTTTTCATCTAAATATAAATACAATATTAGTCACAAAAAAACCTATACAAGTAATATGAATATGTTCAATGATCTAGTCATTTATATAAGTTTGATAAATCTTTCATGTATTTAGAATACATGACAAATCAATTGAAATATCTTACCAGTAAAAAGGCATCGAATTGACTCTTCATCAATATTATAAAGACCAAGACCATATAAATTAGGATAATCAGCAGTACATAAAACATGTTTCATAGATGATGATTCAAGATTCAGCCATTTGATTTTATCATGAATTTCAGGTAAAATTTGTGAACAAAATCGATTAAGCATCATATCAGAGCAAATTAGATTGATAAAATTATGTGAAAACCGTTTGACAAATGTTAAATAACTTGTAAAAATTGGATCATAAACAATTTTATGTAGTCGTTGATTGGAACCGTGTAAAGAATAAAGTACATCAATGGTGTTGAGTTTTTTGAAAATAATCATAAGAATTTCATCAGGTAAATCATTTAGTCCAACACATGAATTCGACATGTCTATTTTCACTTATCTATTCTTTTCAATTTATGAAGGTCAATATTTATATGCATACACTAGTCTGTTCTATTTGACTGACATGTATCAAAACGGCCGAAAGAAAAAATAGCGAAAAAAAAAGTCAAAAAAAAATGTTGACACATGAAGTGTCGAAAACAATTATGGCAAAAAAAATATATCGATCGTACAAAAATGGTGAAAAAAATATATTCCCCTAAAAAATGTCGAAAATGTTCCGGATGCCGTTAAGTGATTCTATCAAGCAGAAAGATATGATGTTTGAGATTAGAGATGAAGCGAGGACTGATATCCGCACTCACATCCTACCCACATAAAGAAACATATAGCCTTGTTGTTGATTTTGTGTCTGAGTATTTTTCATCGACTATTGTTTTTGTTGGTCTATTTAAACATGAATTATTTTTCTATATACAATAAAATATCTTCATTTCATTGATCGAAAATTTTGAAATACATTTTTTTCGACAAATTCATATGATTGTAAGGGATTTTTTGCTAGAGACTGTTTCACCATTTCCTTCATTTGCCATTTTTATCTTCGACATTTTTTCGACCCGTAATTATTTTCGTCATTTTTTCTCGACATTATTTTTTTCGCTGTTCTTTCATTTGCTGTTTTTTCTTCTGGCCAATTTAATACCATTCATTTGACCGATGTCGTCAATACAAATAATAATGCATTTTTCTATAGTCATATTTTGATAATGAATAAATATATGATTACAAGAATAGTGTTATTTCTTTTTCTCACTTGTCTAATATATCACATGATAAAAAGTTATATTCCTTATTTATTTATTTTATAGTGCATATGGGTACTTGTAAGATTCAGTTGACATTTAATTAAGATTAATTAGTTAAAAAGTATTTCTCTGATCATCTCGGTGAACGAATCTAAAAGTTTTAGGATAGACTCTTGGATACAAAGTTGATTTTGAACTTCGCATTGAGCTATAAGAGTATTTCTTTGTTAATATGTTCGTACTCTAGCACATTGCTAACGGAAACTAAATCGATTTTTTTGCAAAACTCTCAACAAAAAATTCTACAGCTTCATAAGTGATTTAGTGGATGTAACATTTAGTTTTTAAAAATTCTATCTCAACTTGCCAGAATTTTAAAAATCAAATGCGTGAAGTAGAAATCATTGATATTCTTAGGTCGCATCACTAATGCTAGTTTTTTAGTGGTAATTTCATTCAACAAAAGTCTCCAAGACTGAATTTTTTAGAGCATGTAAAATAATTTAATATATAAAATCTAGTTCTAGAAACGTTTATTATCCAGAAATACACACATTGTTAATTTGCCTGCCAAGTCACATTGGTAATGAATGATTTGGCCCACATACGTATCATTACATATGTTAATAATAAAGTTATCACGATGTAAATAAAGGGAAACACTTATTTAAGGATGCAGATATATGATGAAATATCAACATACCATGCCAAGATAATTATTGATATTTATTGAATATATGTTTATGTATCATTTTCTTTGATTTTCTAAACACTTTCTTGTTCTATTGTTACATACATATATGTGCAAACTTTAAGGATTTGATTCTATTAGGTTAGCAAGAAAGTTTTGCATCTTTTTTTATTATCTTAATAATAAATAAATGCGGAAACCTCGGATTGAAATCCGAGTGTTATGTGTACTTCAAAAAGTGAACCTAACGACAGATTGGTTTTGATGATTCGAAAAAAATCATCCTTGAGCGCACTAAGGAACTGCCCCTTAGGCCCTGCGGATGCCCTCTTTTTGTCCCATAGGACCTGGCGAGGAGTTAGTTCCAGAGACTTTACTTGTTTATATAAATATAACTTATTTTTTAAATTAAATCTAGTTCTTTTTTTCTTTTTCACAAACTCATATCAATTATATCATTTTTTGGTATGAATTGATGGGGATTATTTGAAAATGGCAAGAGAGCATCGTAATGAATGCCGGTAAAGTGAATACATAAACTTGATTTATTCATATCTGACTTATATCCAATATATTTGAGATGACCTCCTGCAGTTCCATTATCAAATCTGTTAATCAAATCTTGTGTACTGATATCAGATGGAATATAGTGTACACGTTTTGGGTCATCGAGAAATTTAACATAAGAATAAATGGGCTGACGTAATGCTATAGAAAGTGCATGAATTTGAGCTTCTCCACCCCATTGTTCGTTTGTGGCAGTTCTCTTTAACTGTTCTTCAAATGAATAGTTCAATAAACGGCAAATGGTTTTGAAATAATTACTATTATTAATCATAGCATTGACTGCCAATAATCTCATTGAGTGTGTTAGTTCTTCAGATCCAATTTTAATTATTGATAAAGAATTGTACAAGCAATTTCCATCTCCAGTTGTATGAGTTCGTGCGTAAAATGCATCAAATGCATCAACAGAATATTCTATTTTCGGTCTGATTTTAACAGATCGATCTTTGTTATACACAGTTATAAATGGCGACTTTTCAATTAAATCATCGATTATTCGAGCTTGACTTGAAATTTGGGTAGTCCCTGCAGCATTATCAAATTCAAGTAGAAGGAGAAAATGATCAAGAATCTTCCTTGAGTCTGAATCAATGATTTCATAGTTTGTGGGAAAAGATTTTTCTTCAGTTTCCATCGTATCAAATGGCTCATTAACTTTGAGATCTTCTAATTGGAAGGACATATCTAAGTCAATTTGTTCATTCTTATCGACTGTTTCATGACTTTCAAAAACAAATTTGTCGTCGATATCCATCGTGTCAAATTGGTCATCAAGCATAACTTCATCATTGATATTAGAAGTTACATTTGTATGAATGTTTTTGATTTCATGAAAATGAGACTTACTCAAAACTTTATGTTTTCTTATCCATATTGGCTTATGAAAACTTGTAAGACTTTCAAAATAATCAGACTTTACGTCTTTCATATTAGTGAAACAATAGTCAATTTGTGTTTTTGCATTAGTTGAATCTTTATTTAGTGTATTATTCAAACTAAGTCCAAATGATTTCATATATTCAATAAATTTGTTATTGATTTTAATCTTCAAGTTTATATTAAAATCACCAACGACAATTATATTATCACAAAATCTTTTTGAAATAGTTATAACTTCATTCATATGTCGTCTTAGGACATCGAATGATGAATTTGGTGAATTATAAACGGAAATTATACAAATATCATCAACTTTTATCGAAGAATATTCAATATGATCTTTGCCTGAATATTCATATCTTTCGGTGATATTTTCGAATTTTAAATCATTTTTTAAATAAATGATTTGACCGAATGGTTTTCGTACATCATGACAATCACGTCTGTGAACTATCTTAAAACCTTCAATTTCTAAGTTATCACTTGGTTTTGTCCATGTTTCAACAAGACTTATCATGGAAGAAGAGAAAAATGTTTTGTCAAATTTAACATCTGAAATATGCTTATTCAATGATTGTACATTATGAAAGATAACGGAAGATTTTTTCTCTTCAGATTCTTCAGGAAATGCAAGCGAAAATTTCAGCATTCGTTCGGATCTCATAGTTTTGAACATCAACGTCACTGCATCATTACGTTCAGGTGGTTTTGGTGGAACGAAGTCTCCAATTAAGTATAAACCACTTGCTTTTGTTGCACGACTACAAGCAACATATAATTCAGATCTTGTCATTCCCTTCTTCAAATTGACAACAACCTTCTTGTAAGTACCGCCTTGACTTTTGTATATGGTCATAGCTTCACAAGGTACTATTGGAAACTGCTTCCGTTCTACTTTGAAGTTTGTTGACTTCGTATTTATTTGACGTATTACTGGTTCGATTGGTGTAAGACTAGAATCAATATTTCTATTACGCATTACATTGTGAAAATTGGCTCTAGCTTTTCTTCCAGTTTTTTCTTCATTGAATTTAATCCATATTCTACATGGTACTGTTTCATTAGTTTTCTGAAGTTTTCCATAATCAATCATTACTAATTTTCCACAAGCACCATTGACTAATCCATCTTCAGTATCAGAATTGACTGTCAACATATACTTAGCGCCCACTTTCAAATCGATTTTAAGTGGTAAGCCATAAGTTTCAGTTGTTTTGAGATTCTTTACGTTGTTCAACACTTTTTCTTTTAATGATGCAAGTCCATCATCAATACAAAAGTCATATGCATTGGCAGTTGCACCTTCAGTATTAAGATTAGCCAATACTTTTGTATTGTATGCATCAACTTCAGCATTGCTTCTGAATATCCTTATGGCATCTTCAATCGTTTCCAAATTTTCAGTTGAAACAATTCGGGACTTTAATAAATTAATATCTTCATCTGTCATTGTTCCTTTAGCTATATTACTTAATGCAATGGCAAAAGTCTTATCATCCTTTTGTCTCATAATTTCTGTTAATTCAAACAATTCAAAAAGTGACCATAATGGATTATCCACTAAAGCATTATATGAATTGTTAAATTGGAATATGTATTTATCGCCAACTGGTCTTAATTGATTGAAATCGCCCAAAACTATAACTGATATTCCACCAAATGGTTCTTTTGTCTTCATTATTTGCTGCAAACGTGCATTGACGTGTTGAAACATTGTAAAACCAACCATTGATATTTCGTCTATTATTAATAATTGTAGATCTTTCAATTTCACTCCAATTCTATTTGAAATATCACTGTCTAGTTTAACGAGTTTATGTTTGCATTGATTAACTGGTAAACTTAAAAATGAATGCAACGTCATTCCATCAATTAGTGCCGCTGCTTTGCCAGTTGGCGCACAGATTGCAGTACGAATACTTTCTGGATTAGATCCAGGAAGAGAATTATAAAATCTCAGTATCGACTGATATACTGCTTTGATCAGAGTACTTTTGCCAACACCTGCACCGCTATTAATAAAATGAAAAAATTGCTTATCTCCATTTTTTATCAAATTCATCACATTTAAAGTATATCTTCTTTGATTGTTATTG